TAATGTATTGATTATTTGGGGACTGTTGAAGAAATCGACAGTCGCGGGTTCGAGCCCACCACAAGACCAACTTCACGACTCCCACTGATGACTGCTGGCGTTGTGTCCTTGGGCAAGACACTTAACCCCCCTTTGCCTGAAGCCCCCAGCAATGTGTACTGGGTGCAACTCTGACTTCCACCCTCCGACCCAGAAATGGATTAAGGGGAAGAAAATGGATGGATGGATGTTAAAGAAATCATCCCACATCCAAGCTCATTAACTCATTGACTGCCAGCTGTTTTTGATGATTTCACTGATTCTCAAGACCCACAGAATATTAGTTCCTAAGACTATGTGAAATATGAAACCAGATTCGGAAAGACTGGTTTGTTTACTTTCATCAGCAAAAATAAGTTTGTTTCTAGCTGTTTTTATTGTCCTGTAATCCCCAGTCGAATATAGGGTCTCAGACAAATGTGTCAATGGCAGTCAATGAGTTAACACATGAGTTTGGAATAAACTGCTTTCTATATGAAGATTAATCCAAAATATATAGATTTAATTCAGACACCAGTCATACCATGTGATTAGACCGAACCATATAATATTTATGAAAGAATAAAGTTGTCATAGCCTGGCCTTTTATTATTCCGGCCGATTATAATTTCCCTAAATGTACGTCTGGGTCTGATCCTAGTGTCTGCAGTTACCTTGGTTGAGTCCCCTCTGACCATTCAGCGAGCGGGGGAGGCGGGTGTTGTAGGTAGGTGTTGGTGACGTCAAGATATTGCCCGAATTTGCTGGTTGTAGTTTGGCAATGGCAGCGAATGTGATAGTAAGTAAGTAATCCGTTCTGGTTCGGCTCCCAAATATCAAGAAATTGAAGCTGGAGCAGGAGGAATGTTTCGCAAATGTCATTGCTGGCAAAGATGTTGACGCTCTATTCTCCACGAGCTCCATTAGTGGCAAAGGAGATGGCTAAAGCTCGGCTAAATGCTGAATGCCACACTGACTCAGGCGCATTACAAATGTCACGGCAAACTCTAATTTACTTTAATTTATACGATGGTATGGTAAAACCAGACATGGTTCATTTTGTGGTGTGGATCATGGTGTGGATTTTATTTATGTAAAATTCTGGTTCTCTAGTTTGTTTTACTTTGACTTCCTGTTCTATTCTCCTGTGTTTTTTGTCTGCCCCGCCCTAATGTGTTTCACCTGTGTCTCTCTGTCTGTGTGTCTGTGATCCTCTCCCCATGTTGCTGGTCCATTGTCTTTGTCTGTCTGTGTTGTTTGGATTTTTAGGCCCGAGCCCCGAACGGGGTAAGGGCCTATTGCTTTCACAATGGTGAAAACAAATGGTGGCGGTGCGTGACGGACGCGTCAGCGCCCGTCACTCACCAAAACGTGACGGTTAAGTGCGTAAACTCAAACGCTTTAAAATGATGTATCACGTGCCATTGAAAGCTATATTGTTTTTGCTCGAGACGTCGAAAAAAAAAAATCCTTTTTAGGCCCGAGCCCCGAACGGGGTAAGGGCCTATTGCTTTCACAATGGTGAAAACAAATGGTGGCGGTAAGTGACGGACGCGTCAGCGCCCGTCACTCACCAAAACGTGACAGTTGCGTGCGTAAACTCAAAAGCTTTAAAATGATGAATCACATGCCATTGAAACCTATATTGTTTTTGCTCGAGACAAGTCACAAAAAATTCCTTTTTTATTTATTTAGGCCCGAGCCCCGAACGGGGTAAGGGCCTATTGCTTTCACAATGGTGAAAACAAATGGTGGCGGTGCGTGACGGACGCGTCAGCGCCCGTCACTCACCAAAACGTGACGGTTGCGTGCGTAAACTCAAAAGCTTTAAAATGATGTATCACATGCCATTGAAACCTATATTGTTTTTGCTCGAGACGTTAAAAAAAAAATTCCTTTTTTATTATTAGGCCCGAGCCCCGAACGGGGTAAGGGCCTATTGCTTTCACAATGGTGAAAACAAATGGTGGCGGTGCGTGACGGACGCGTCAGCGCCCGTCACTCACCAAAACGTGACAGTTGCGTGCGTAAACTCAAAAGCTTTAAAATGATGTATCACATGCCATTGAAACCTATATTGTTTTTGCTCGAGACGTCAAAAAAAAATTCCTTTTTTATTTATTTATTAGGCCCGAGCCCCGAACGGGGTAAGGGCCTATTGCTTTCACAATGGTGAAAACAAATGGTGGCGGTGCGTGACGGACGCGTCAGCGCCCGTCACTCACCAAAACGTGACGGTTGCGTGCGTAAACTCAAAAGCTTTAAAATGATGTATCACGTGCCATTGAAACCTATATTGTTTTTGCTCGAGACGTCGAAAAAAAAATTCCTTTTTTATTTATTTATTTATTAGGCCCGAGCCCCGAACGGGGTAAGGGCCTATTGCTTTCACAATGGTGAAAACAAATGGTGGCGGTGCGTGACGGACGCGTCAGCGCCCGTCACTCACCAAAACGTGACGGTTGCGTGCGTAAACTCAAAAGCTTTAAAATGATGTATCACGTGCCATTGAAACCTATATTGTTTTTGCTCGAGACGTCGAAAAAAAAATTCCTTTTTTATTTATTAGGCCCGAGCCCCGAACGGGGTAAGGGCCTATTGCTTTCACAATGGTGAAAACAAATGGTGGCGGTGCGTGACGGACGCGTCAGCGCCCGTCACTCACCAAAATGTGACAGTTACGTGCGTAAACTCAAAAGCTTTAAAATGATGTATCACATGCCATTGAAACCTATATTGTTTTTGCTCGAGACGTTAACAAAAAAATTCCTTTTTTATTTATTTATTTATTTATTTATTTCTTTTTTCTTCTGCACTTTGAGCCTTAATTTGACCCCCTGAACATGCATGAAAAGTTGTTAATTTTGGCCCAAAAATCAGACCTGGCGAAAAATTTGATATTTTGGTGTTTATTTTTATGGGACTCAAAAAATGACAGAACAGCGCCACCTACAACAGCCAAAATAATACCCCTATGGGACTTTTCGGAGGTCAAATTGTCGTAGAAACATGAGATTTGGTACACATGTTTTTCAAGTCAAGACAAGAAAAAAATATTATTATGGCCCCGCCCTCTGACAAACAGGAAGCCCATAAATTTCACTGCAAAATGGAAAAATGAACAGCAAAAGTTTTCATACATGTCGGTTGGAAAGCGACTCCTCCTCGGCCGTTTCACCGATTCGCCTCAAAATCGCTCCACATCATCTCAACACATGTACCTTCAAAATGACCTCAGGGATTTTTGATCAGTGAAACATTGTTTGAGCAGCGGAGCGGCAAAATGTGACCTTTTTTTGGCCGTTTTTGACAACATTAAATTTGCTCCCGTTTGCACATACAAAGTCTGATTTGCACAAAACTTTAATACATTGTTCAACTCTAGGGTCTAGGTCATTTGAAAGTGAATGTATTCAAATTGACACATTAGCGCCCCCTACAGACTATTTCAAAATTTTAAATGGGCATTTTCAAATTTAGTTTTTTCAAAATGTTTGAAATTTTGCACATACATCTGTTTTGCCCTCTTGATTCAAAAAGTCAATTGGGTCCAAGGCTTATTTTTAACCCTGTTGCCGTGGCGACGACAAACGCTCCCCATTCATTGCAAATGTACACCTCACACAAACATCAAACCAGCCTCGGCCGTTTCACCGATTCGCCTGAAAATCGCTCCACATCATCTCAACATATGTTCCATCAAAAAGACTTCAGGGAATTTTGATCAGTGAAACGTTGTTTGAGCAGCAGAGCGCCAAAAAGTGGCGTATTTTTTTTCAGTTTTTGACAATAGAAAATTTGCTTCCGTTTGCACAAACATAGTGTGATTGGCACAAAACTTGAATCCATGGTTCAACTCTTGAGTCTAGGTCAATTGAAAGTTCAAATTTTGAAATTGGCTCTATAGCGCCACCTACAACAGCCAATTTAAAAATGCCTAAGGGAGGGGTTCGAGGTCAAAATTGCCGTAGAACCATGTAATTTGGTACACATGTTCCTCAAGTCAAGACATGGAAAAAATGTAATTATGGCTAAGCCCTCTGACAAACAGGAAGCTCATAAATTTCATTGCAAAATGGAAACATGAAAACCAATCATTTTCATACATGTCGCTTGGAAAGCGACTCCTCCTCGGCCGTTTCACCGATTCGCCTCAAAATCGCTCCACATCATCTCAACACATGTACCTTCAAAATGACCTCAGGGATTTTTGATCAGTGAAACATTGGTTCGAGCAGTGGAGCGGAAAAATGTGACCTTATTTTGGCCGTTTTTGACAACATTAAATTTGCTCCCGTTTGCACAAACAAAGTCTGATTTGCACAAAACTTTAATACATTGTTCAACTCTACGGTCTAAGTCGTTTGAAGGTGAATTAATTCAAATTGACACATTAGCGCCCCCTACAGACTATTTCAAAGTTTTAGATGGGCATTTTCAAATTTAGTTTTTTCAAAATGTTTGAAATTTTGCACATGAATCCGTTTTTCCCTCTTGATTCAAAAAGTCAATAGGGTCCAAGGCTTATTTTTTACCCTGTTGCCGTGGCGACGAGAAACGCTCCCCATTCATTGCAAATGTACACCTCACACAAACATCAAACCAGCCTCGGCCGTTTCACTGATTCGCCTCAAAATCGCTCCACATCATCTCAACACATGTACCTTCAAACTGACTTCAGGGAATTTTGATCTGTTAAACGTTGTTTGAGCAGCGGAGCGGCAAAATGTGAGGTTTTTTTTTGCTCTTTTTGACAACATTAATTTTGCTCCTGTTTCGCACAAACAAAGTCTGATTTGCACAAAACTTTAATCCATTGTTCAATTCCAGGGTTTAGGTCAGGTTAAAGTGAAATATTGGAAATTGGCCCATTAGCGCCCCCTACAGACTGTGTCAAAGTTTACATGGGGAGCCAAACCAGCTCTACTTATCATATTCATTACAATTTGACTAAGTTCTTCTATGGCTACGGAAACAAATCATCACACGGCGGTGCCACCTCCTTTTAGCGGTGCTGCGTGGTACGGTGTGGAGCGGCGCATTGCGGCTTGGTGCGGGGCGGCGTGGTGCGGGACGGCATGGTGCAGGGCGGCTTGGTGCAGGGCGGCTTGGTGCGGGGCGGCTTGGTGCGGGGCGGCGTGGTGCGGGGAGTGCGCGCGGTCCAGGGAGTCGCGACTGTGGATTTCTTTTAGTTTACTTTGGGCGGCACGGTGGCTGAGTGGGTTCGAATCCCAGTCGGAACAGGTGCCTTTCTGAGTGGAGTTTGCATGTTCTCCCCCCTGTCTGCGTAGGTTTCCTCTGGGTGCTCCGGTTTCCCCTACCACTAAAAACATGCACAATAGGTATGAATGTGAATGAGAGAGTGAATGGATGGTGTCTAGAAAAGGTTCAAGTTTACCTCAATGTATGGATTTGCTACAACAGATTACATTTAGAATAAATTAATTTACCAAGACTTTTGCCAACCATGACAGAAAGTCCAGGATTCATCTGCAGCCCCTCCGTCCATGGCTGTGGATCGATTTCACCGTGAGACTTGGGAAACGGGAAACCTTGGGAAGAACCACTGTTTGGTTGTTTTGTTTTTCTTCCCAAAGAATGTTGGTCTGGGACATTTATACCATATCTGAATTCCAGTGAAAATGGGTCGATCTGTTTGTTGGTGTTTTAACTGTGTGATCTCTAAACTGCTCCTGGCCAAACAACTCGTCCTGCGTGACTACTCGGCTGCACAAAAACACATTTTTCCAAGTCTCAGTACTTTGAAACAATTCCTGGTTTGAGTCTGAATGTAGAATATTTCCTTCCATTCGAATCTTTAAAAGATTTTGGCCGATTTTACCGTGGGTCCCACCTCCTACTTTCGAAAGGGCCACTCAATTCATCTTTTGTCTAGTGTTACACTGGTCCTCTACTGTCTTTCACATCTTCTTAGCAACCCACACAGCCTTTTTTTTTTCAACACTTCTATTTTGTCCTGAAATCACACAGAAGATTAACTTGCTGTGTGGAAGATTGTGGTGTTTTGTGTATTGTCCTTCTGATCTTTTTCTGATTGTGTTAGAGAATTTTACCAAAATTGGTAAATTAGCACAGATAAAAGGCTAACTCTGGCACATTTTCACATTGAAAAACATATTGATTGATGTGCACTGTCCCAATTCAAATACAGATAAAAAAAAAGATTTGGTTGAAAAAAGAAGAATCTCCCTACATACCTTTTAAATTGAGAGGTGGGCAAACATAAACATCATAGTAGTCCAAACATCCAAAGGGGAACAATTATTCTAAACATCGAGCAACTTAAAACAACTCATTAATAAATTGTCATATATGCTTTTGTACCATCAATACCCTTTTCTATATTTCAGTGCATATACATCTGATTCCTATATTCATTAGCGTAGCACAACATTTTAGAATTCCTATCTAAAACGTCTATCATTGCCTTGAAGAGTGTCCAGGTTTGTTAGGATTCCGGCTGCCATTCCATCCATATGCTTTTGTCATGTAAATTCACATTTTGTTCGTGACTTTTTTTCTCACTGAATGATGAGTCTCTCACTCTGAAATGCTTTCCAACGCGTGCTCATAATTTCACAGATCAATGAGCACTATCTATGGCTCTAACGCAGAAAAGAGAAGAGAAAAGCCAGACTCAATATTGGAGAGCATTGTTCAGGGCCACGGCCTTTGAGCCCCTCACACTTTTAAAGAGAATAGTTGAGTGAGTGTCAGGTGAACGCTTCAGACAATAATGGGAACGACTATTGATTTGAAATGTTAAGGTACTATTCTTTTAACTTTTTATTTATGCTGATGATGATTTTTTCAGGATTGGTTGATTTTTCACTCCTATCAAAGCTCAAAAAGGAGTGGGAAGAAGTCCTTATAAGCTCCCACCCCCTATACCTCAATTCAACTCACACAGTTGCACATACACACACACACGCGCGCGCGCACATACAAATACATACAGACACATGCATTATACCATGAATCTATAATAATAATATGAATAGGGTATTACTAGCTTATAGCCGTTTTCCCTATGGGCACAGTGGTACTGCAGATTAAATTCACGCGTGCTACCCAGAAAAAAGTCCCATAGAACGCAATGTAAATTAAAACAGCTCCACCTCAGCTGACAGAGAACCTACAGCTTTCATAAAGATCAGATATTGTGGGGATTTTAGTGTCCCTTTTCATCCTGAACGTTTTTTCTTTTAAAATCCTTCAGTTTTCTATAAATCCACACTTTAATGCAACAAACTCTGCTCGTTTGGCTCCCACTCTAGCTCTGGCTCTACTCTGAACTCCAGCCACAGATTGATCAAAACATAGCCATCTTGGATCACTGGGGCTTGATACCTTCACACATGTCTGTAGGGAAATGATTTCTTATTTTTATGTTTTCCTCTTTGTTTTATAGCAATAAAAACATAAGATTCTAATACAATCATAAACAATAAAACAAAAACAGCGACACAAAAAAATTAAAACATTCAACAAAAAGCTGCATACCCTCAAACATCCACACACATCCACATCCATTCACCTAACCATTCATGCTATTCCCGTTCAACAACAATAGAGTTGAAAGTGTGAACAACCAAAATAAACATTTTACTATTAATTTACTAACTGACATCATGTTTTCTCCTCTCAACAATAGTGCAAAACACCAGAAAGGAGCAGAGATCAGCTTGTTACAATGAGACAACATCGACAATGCACAAAATAACTTATAATAAGTTTTGAGAGTTGTATAGAATAACACCCCAGTTATTATCACACATGTGCTTAGGATGGACTGTGAGGCTTGAAAAATATATGGGACAGACGGCATTTAGCAAATATGCATAATATTCTATTTCTATCTATTTCCAGAGTACATTTTCTTATTTTCTATTTGTGAGATAGATTCAAACCCTTTGACTTTCATTCACCAATGCACTGACTGGAAAAACCTGCACTGCTATTGCTTACTCTTTCTTTTATTACCAATTTCTTTGGTACATAATTATATCCTGCACAGACTATATTTTTAACCTTTAACATGCTACACACTTTTGTCTTTTTGAACAATCTGATTGACTGAATGACATGTAAATTCTCCAGTGTGAGATCAATAAAGTCTATCTTATCTTATCTTATACCACATTCTTTCATAACCAACCACTATACCCCCCGTGTAACGGATATAGAAATGCACTTTATATTTTTTTTGTTTACAATTCCTGGTTGTATTTTATTTTAAAATGTAATTTTGTGTGATTTTTATTATTTTGAAGTTCCCGGAAGTGCTCGCTGCTCCCCTGTGTTTTATTTTGGTACTCAACTTTCCCTCTCAAAGCCGCTTCGTATGCTTCAGAGGGTGAGTTCTGTCTCCGTGAAAAATACATATTTTCAAACATTTAGCTTTATTTTCCACAATATTCACTAATATATGTTTAGTAGGAAATGTTTTAGGATGCAATGAACGTACTTTTGCACATTTTCTAGCGCACAATTTTAGTTTTTTGGTACTTTTTATTTAGCTAGCTTACCATGTGCTCAAGTGTATTGCCATGCTCACGTGCCGTTTTCATCCCGTAGGGGGAGCCAGTGTGTCCGCTGTGACTAAAAATGTATATTTTTGGTCTGTCACAGGTCTGACTAAAGTAGTTGACTCCACACTGTGTCCTGTTGTTCGTGTACGGCTCATGGACGCGTTTGCAGCCGTTACACCCGGCTGGTCTCTAGACATCACTGCACAATACAACAGGCCCCTGGTATTTGGTTCCTGTTGAGCCAAAATGTCTGCGGAATCCTATCAAAACAGATACATTCAAAATTTCCGTGTGCAGTGGTCCGCAAATGTTGAACCAAAGGCGTCCTCAATGCAGGACAATGGAATAAAGATTACAGAGCAAAGATCAGTCAAACATTCATGAATTACTTTGCAACTTTAACGTACAAAGAAGCAGCCCTTGTGTTTCTTCATGTTGTAGGCAGCAAGCATTAAAAAAAACATTTGAGTGACGTCCTACGGTCATTCTCGATTGTCAAAAACCTTGTCGACATTAATTCGCTAAGCCTCACTCACCACAGCAGTTAATCAGTGAAAAACACATGAGAATTATTAATATTCAGGGTTTTAATGTTTGCAGCTGCCTCTTGTTCAGTTCTGTGAGTCTCTGTCTTATCTTCGCTTCACAGTCGGCCTGAACCAAAACAATCCACACTTGCACAAACCCCGCAAGGCCCAAGACATGCTAAAGAGGCAAGCGGAGAGTCCAGAAAGGCAACTCGGGCAACATTATAAATTCCACCGCAGAGGAGGAATATGACATGACTTGAATTGCATCTTGATTCTAGCATTTTTGAAAGCAAATTCAAAGATATAAAAGTTTGAAACTAGACCATGTGTTTTTAAATTGCAGAACATGCCGGGGTATAAACTGCTACTTTTTTTGAGCTGTTGTGATTTATGCGGCCTATGTTGTGATGTGGCGAATGGATGTGTTTTTATTTTGTTAGAGGAAAAGACTAAGCTAGGCTATGGGAGCAACCCCATCGCCAGAAGTTTTGTGGTTTTGATAAAAGTCAGCCAGATTGTTAGATTTAATGTTGAACTCCAATGAAATAATTCAGAAATATTTACCTGCAAAATATCTACATGGATTCAATAAACAACACTAGTTATATTAAAATTAACAAGCATAAGGCATGCTGGATGGGTGGTTAGCATTCTTGCTTTTCAGCCCGGGGTTCTAGTTCTACCTCTCCTTTCTGAGTGCAATGTCCATGTTCTCTCCGTGTCTGCTCCAATTTCCTACGAGTGCTTCAGTTTCCCCTGCTACCAAAAACATGTACAATAGCTCCCCTCAGGACCGGAGTGGGACAACATTTCAGGCCGGGAGCTTTTCATCCATTCAGGCCAAACAAGGTTCTAAATTTGGGTTTTTGTCATTGTATTTTGATGTTCTTTTAATAGTTTTAAGATTGACTGTCAAAACTTTTGTTTTCTTTATTTTTTTTTATATTGACTGTTTATATAATCTTGGACGTTTAAAGATTGTTGTACGTTGCTTAGCAACGTAACGTTTATGGAGTTTAGTGAGAATAAAGACACACACACACACACACACACAATGAACTAAGTGTTCATTAGTGTATAACTATAACAAGCTAATCAATTATTGTTAAAAAAGTAGTAAGGTAAAATCACATCGTTACAGCTCATATAAAAGGAAAAATAAAAACGTGTATGAACCATCAGTTGGAGAGACCACTCATTTCAACCGGGGAAGCTACACTGGGTGCACTGCTAGGCTGGCCTGGCTGTGTAGCCGACGTGTGACGTCACATTTGTTTAATTTTGCTCTGGCCCAATGACAGTAAAGCTTTGGCCAGTGTTGTGCCAGTTCACAGCTTTTCTGAACTAGTTCAAGTTCAGTTATACATGCTCAAAGTGAACAGTTCACGTTCGAAGTTCTCAATTTTAATTCTGAACTAGTTCAAATT